GAGCCTGAGAAGCCCAGAGACAGCTCCTAGGACCTGAGTTCAAATCCCAAGACCAGCAAAAAAAAAAGAATACATTTCAATTTTAAATATATTGTCTATGAGAGGAGTGGGGGATACAAAAGCATAATGAGGGCTGGGAAGGTGGCTCAGTGGTAGAGTGCTTGCCTTGCATGCATGACGCCCTCCCTGGGTTCGATTCCTCAGCACCACATAAGCAGAAAAAGCCAGAAGTGGTGCTGTGGCTCAAGTGGCAGAGCGCTAGCCTTGAGCTGAAGAGCTGAGGGACAGCGCCCAGGCCCAGAGTTCAGGCCCCATGACTGGACCCAAAAAAAAATAGTTGTTAAGAATGTATTTCAATGGTGTTTTTAAGAGTTTGTGTGTGTGTGCGCGCGTATGTGTGTGTGTGCTCACATGCTTGTGCACACAAGCATGTGTACCAGTACAGAGTGGGGCTTGAACTCATGGCCTAGGTACTTTAGCTTTTTCACCTAAGGCTGGTGCTCTACCACCTGAGCCACACTGCCACTTTTGCCTTTTTGGTGGTTAACTGGGAGTAAGACTTTCATGGACATTTCCTGGTGAGGCTGCTTTCAGATCACCACTGTCAGATTTCAGCCTCTGGAATAGCTAGGATTACAAGCATGAGCCACTGGCACCTACCTGGTGGTAGAGTTCTTGACTAGCATGCTGGAAGCCTTGGATTTGTTCTTTAGCATGGGAAGGAAGGTAGGAAAGGAGGAAGGGAAAGAGGGAGTGAGGGACAGAGGAAAGAAGGAATTAAGCAAAGAAGAAAGGTAGGAAGGCAGGCAGGCAGGAAGGAACAAAGGAAGGAAGGAAGGAAGAAAGGAAGGAAGGAAAGAAGAAAGGTAGGAAGGCAGGCAGGCAGTCAGGAACAAAGGAAGGAAGGAAGGAAGAAAGGAAGGAAGGAAAGAAGGAGGGGAACAGAAAAATAAATGAGTCAATGTGAGTAGCTAAATCTACAAGTATCAGGAGCCAAATATGTAACTGGAAGTTATCAGAATTAACTTTTAGATACAATGCAATATAATAATGCAAATAATAAAAATGTGCTATTCTGTACTGTTTTAGTACAATACACCAAGGTCCCAAGTAGAATGCATTTATATAGTCAACAAAAGGTATGTAAAGAAATGTTCATAGCAGTACCATTTCTAACAGCTCCAACTGCCCAAATGCCTATCTGCTGGAAAATGGAGTAGAAAAATAATGTAAATACCTTTTCAAGGCAAAATTAAGGAACATATAACTTTGATATTATATATTAAACTTAGTTCTCTGCTAGAGCATTTTATATACATTATTTTGTGTAATCTTTAACATAATCTGTGGTGGGGCTAATATCTGTGTTTGACATCTGAGGAAAGTAAGGCACACAGAGGGCAAGGACTTTGGGCAAATCCACAATACTAGATAGTGAATTCAAACTATGAATTCAGATCTCTATCAATTCAAAGTCTACAAGAACATTTTCTCCATAAGAAAAAATAGGAAGTGTAGACATAACACATTCACAGTAAAATTGTAACAGCTAGCATTTCTTGAGCACTCACTATACAATAAGTACTGTGCTAAGTAGCTTCCAAAATGAACTTTACAAAAATGGATCTCGGAAGGGATGGTAGGGGAAAAACAAAGGAGGAGGTAACAATGCTCTATAGGAAATGTACTCATTACCTTACTCATGTAACTGTAACCTCTCTTTACAGTACTTTTTTTTGGGTCCGGTCGTGGGCCTGAACTCTGGGCCTGGGCGCTGTCCCTCAGCTCTTCAGCGCAAGGCTAATGCTCTACCACTTGAGCCACAGCACCACTTCTGGCTTTTTTTTTTTGCTTATGGGTGCTGAGGAATCGAACCCAGAGCCTCAAGCATGCAAGGCAAGCGCTTTACCATTGAGCCACTTTCTCAGCCCTCTTTACAGTATTTTTAAACAAAAAAAAATGGATTCTTATATGAACTTTTCATAGCTGGAATTAGGATGGGGGGCTTGAACTCAGGGTCTTGAACTGTCTTCTCTGACAGGTTGCTTGTAGGTTTTTTTCCCAGCTGGTGCTCTAGCACTTGAGGTATACTTGAGCCTAGCTTTTTGCCAGTTATTTTTTTTTTGTCGGTCTTGGGGCCTGAACTCTGGGTCTGGTCGCTGTCCCTCAGCTCTTCAGCTCAAGGTTAGCACTCTACCACTTGAGCCACAGCGCCCCCTCTGGCTTTATGTGCTTCTGTGGTGCTGAGGAATCGAACTCACGGCCTCATGTATGCACGGCAAGCATTCTACCTCTGAGCCACTTTCCCAGCCCTTTGCCAGTTATTTTTATTTTTATTTTTTTGGGGGTCTGGTCGTGGGGCCTGAACTCTGGGCCTGGGCGCTGTCCCTCAGCTCTTCAGCTCAAGGCTAGCGCTCTACCACTTGAGCCACAGCGTCACTTCCGGCTTTTTTCTTTTTGCTTATGTGGTGCTGAGGAATCGAATCCAGGGCGGCATGCAAGGCAAGCGCTCTACCACTGAGCCACCTTCCCAGCCCTTTGCCAGTTATTTTGGAGACAATGTCTGCAGTCATTAAGTACATGGGCTGGCTTCAAACTCCCAGCTTGTAGATTTCAGTCTCCTGAGTAGTAGGATTACAGATGTAAGTCATTAGTGACTGGCTTATTTTGTCTATTTTTTGGGGTGGGGTGGCGGACAAAATCTTATTCTGTTGCCTAAGTTAGCCTGGCGCTCCATAGGTTCATAAGATCTTCCTACTTGCATCTCTACCCAGGAGTAGGTGGGACTTACAGGTGGGAGCCCCGCCCCCCTACTGATACTCCATTCACGCAGCAGAGACTGAAATTCACAGGACAATGACTAGTTCCTTTTAGTATTCCATCGCCATATATATATATATATATATATATATATACACATACATAATACATACATACATGTATTCTTCAGTGTCCTTCGTAAAGAGGAAGGGCAGAGAGCGTTGTGATGGTGGTGGAGCATATATATGAGGTTATTCGGAATGAGTGTTGATTGCTTACTTGAGCTATTTGCATGTACCTAGAGGACGATTTTGTGTTGTTATTCCATATAAGAAAACAAATACCAGTTATGGCAGTACGTCCCATTTATTGATTGTATACTGTAGTACCTCCTGCCCCCCCACCCGCCCTCGTTTTTCCTTAATCCTGTTTACGCACTTTAATTAGCTCATTTTATTTACTGAGCTCAAAAGAGGCTGCAGGAGTCGGACTTTCACACGTTCCGTGTTCTTCTGGGGTTTAGATCCTGAGCTGGCTGTGCTAGGGCTCTAGATCTCAATTCTTAAAACCAGGGAAGGATTCAAAAGAAAAATAAACCAAACTGGGCGACGAATCGAAAATGGAAGCCGCGATATACAGTGCAAGGTCTTGGGAAGGGGACTACTGGTCCCGGAGGCACGTGGTAAATAGAACGTGCAGAACTGGCGCCCAGTAGGAGAGCGCGGGGAAAAAAATGCAGGCGGAGGCAGGTGTGGGAATTTGTGGGGGCCCTTCGGAGCACTGCAGAAAAGACATAAGCGGCAGCGCAAGGAGAAGCTTCCGCTTCCTCCGGAAAAAAAATTCCCACGGCCACCTAGACCCTTTGGAGTCCGGTAGGAGCTGGCGGGGACGCGCCATTGAGCGCGCAGGCGGCGCCGTAGCCGGAGTGGGTGGGCCATGGGCGGGGCAAGAGGCGGAGTCTGTCGCTCAGCGGCTGTGAGCGGTTGCTGAGGAGGCAAAGAGCTTTGAGTGAACCCCTCAGCTTTCCCGCGCCGCGCCGCGCCGCCTCTGGTAGCGCCTCCTCCTCCTCCTCTGCTCCTACACCGGCTTCTTCCTTCCTCCGTTTACCCTCAGCCGTCAAGCTGGCTGACTCCGATATGGCGACCCGCAGCCCTGGTGTTGTGGTAAGCAATTTGAGTCGCTGAGCTCAACCGGGCCCAGGCCCACGAGGCTGGGGACCGGGAAGCGGTGGCGGCCGGGCCCTGAGGCGCCGGGGCCCGCATTGCGCGTTCAGACGTGGGTGGCCCGGGGGAACCCCCGGGGGCGGGAATCGTTACAGGTTCCCCGATTTGGTTTGACGTCACGCGACGGCGGCGAGAAGGACGGAATGGCGGGGTTAGGAAAGGATCCCTCGTCCAGAGAGCCCCGGGAAAGAGGACTGCGTGTGGGTAAAGAAGGTGGAAATGGCGTTGGGGTGAACATGTGCCTCCAGCAAGCGTGCTGTGGGGAGGGGCCGAGGGCTGCTTCCAGAAGGATCGGGCGGGGTGAGGGCGTGGGAGCTCTTTTTTTTTTTTGGGAGAGGCCATTCCACCAAAGTTAGGGGGATGGCGAGGACGTCTGCAGTGCTCCCCGGGAGGATCCTCAGTACGGAATAGGACCGCGTGCGAGCGCATGGGTGTGGGACAACTGGGTTGGGGCATTTAGTCTTGCAGGTGCTATGATTCCTGTTTGCGGGAATGCGCATTGCTTTGTAGACTCCTCCCCTTTGCCTCGTGAGCGGGTGACCAAGCCAGCATTACCCCAGAAACTACTGCAGGCATTTTCCCGTGGTTCAAGGGAAGTGGGCCTTGAGTTCAGATACACACAAGCCTAGATCCCATGCTTTCTAATACAGGTTCGCTTTTTTATTTTCTGGTGTGTGTGTGTGTGTGTGTCAGAGAGAGAGAGAGAGAGAAAAAGAGAGAGAGAGAGTAAATCCGATTGATCCGATCCTTACATTCAAGGACATCATAACCACAATCAGCCTCTGATATATTGCCTCTGCCTTCATTCATTCTTTTAAATAAAAAACGTAGCGAACCTCGCCCTCCCCCCCCCCCCAGGATCCTGCACGCTAAAATAGGCCAAGTTTCTGCCACCTGTTAAAATGGTGTAGCCTGATGATTATTGTCGTTGTTAATTTAACCGTAACCTGGTTATCTGTTGGCTGCATCTACGACATACACAACCTTTGTTTATTTCTATTTTTTATTTTTTGCAGGGCTAGGGATGGAACCTAGGGCCTTGCTTGGAACAGTCACGCTCTCTACCATTGAGTCACAGACCTGGCTTCTAACCAAACTGTATAAGGGCAGGAATCAACACTGTAACTCCAACGTATAGCACTATACCTGGCTTATGGAAAGTTTCCAACTACGGATTGTTGAGTGAACAAATAACCACTTGAACCCTAAGAAGAAAAGATTGTTTCATATTAGGCTGTATGGTTTAATGTAAAAAGCAATGTCATTTAATGGAGCCTGGCCTGGACTTGTTTGAGCCAGCTGTGTGGTCTTCCACATCTTTACCTCTGTAGACTTCAGTTCTATGGTTCTCTCAGAGGTCCTTAGCTGCTGGTGTTGGTGAAAGCATTACAAGGTGGTCTGAATAAACAACCCTTGCAGAGTCTCTGATTGGAGAATAGTAATAGTAGCCATCATTGTGTTTATATATGTGGTCCTAATTAATTTTCAAAACAACCCATGAAGTTATCATCATTACTATTTTACAGAATGAAGAATGGTCTAAGCCCTAAATAGGCTAACACACATGCCCTGGGTCCTATATACTTGGTAGGTGGAGAGAGGCTGGTGATGTGGCTCAGTTGTATGACTTGCCTAGCATGCAAAGTCTTCTGTTAAATCTCCAGCATAAAATGGGGTGGGGAGAATAAATACATTTTAACAGGGAAGGCAAGTAATAGGATGGTAATGCTGTGAGTACTCAACAAATAGTAATGGCTTTTATTTTTATCCACTTGCTGAGGTAGTTCTACAAATGCTTTTAGCTTAGTGATACAATGCTTGTTCCAGTATACAGTGCATTTGTAAGAACTGGCTGTTAGTTTTTTTTGAACATCTAGAAATTCATTGTTTTTACTTTACAAATTCCTGTTTCTTTTTTTAAAGTTCCTTCCCCTAAATTGTCTGCTTGTTAGCAATAACAAACACTTGAATTGTGCTTACTAAGTACTACTTACAATTTGTAGACTGTTGCATATATTAACTTACTGGTTCTTTAAAAGAAAATATGTGGCCCAGAGGGGCTAAATAGCATCCCTAAGGCCACTTAACAGTAAGATCCCACATTCTAATCTTAACCTGTATGTAGATATTAAATGCTTATTCTGTCTAGGCTTGAAAGTAAATGTTTTGCCAACATTATTGAATGTAAATGCCCTAAAGTTACACAATAGGTATCTAGTAGGGTAGATAAACACCCGTGTGACCTTGGAGGCTCAAGATAAGTGTAGTAACTTGCCCTAGATCTGTTTGATGAAATTGGACTTCAGATTGGCCTGATACAACCCATGTGGCTTGTAACTCATTTTAGAACAAGCTGACTGGGGATGTTTCAAATAGTAGTAGCTAGTGTCTGCCTGCCTGGCAAGTGGGAAGCCCTATTATGGACAAAAGAAAAGGCACTATAGAATCTCTTGCAAAAAGCATCAGAGTTTTTGCAAATTAATGTGAAAAACCATACCCTTTATAGCTATGTCTTTTAAATTTTAGGATGGCAGTGCTAGAAATATTGTGCAAACTGAACTTATTACCTTGCTTGTGATAATTTTAGACTGGGTTTTACTATAGGAGAACCTAGGCTGACTTAAACTCTCAGTTCCCTGGTCATGGCTTCCTGAGTGTTGGGATTACAGATGTATACCACCATGCCTGATGTGCTAATGATTGTGTATATATCCATATATGCTGTGCACGTACATGAGGTTTTTTTTTTTTTTTTGTCGTGGGGCTTGAACCCTGGGCCTGAGCGTTGTCCCTCAGCTCTTCAGCTCAAGGCAAGTGCTCTACCACTTGAGTTACAGTGCCACTTCTGGTTTTCTAGTGTTTTATTGGAGATAAGAGTTTCACAGACTTTCCTGCCCCGGCTGGCTTTGAACTGCGATTCTCAGGTCTTAGCCTCCTGAGTAGCTAGGATTACAGGCGTGAGCCACCGGAGCCCGGCTAGGCTGAGGTTTTAACTCAGTGCCTCTCACATGTTAACTGCATACTCTACTACTGAGGCATACCTCCAGCCATCTGTTAGTGATTTTTTTTTCAAAATTGGTGGTATATTTTATTGGCCCACATTAATGTTATTGTTATCAATAGGATTTATGCTAATATCTGTAGGTATAGATGAAAATAACTCTTTTGGTGTACCAGGACTGGGGTTTGAACAATGAGCTTTTTCTCTTTAGTCTGGTGCTCTATTACTTGAGACACATCTCCATTTCTGGATTTTTTAGTGGTCCAGTCACTAGGACTTTTCCTGCTATGGCTGACTTCAAACCACAATCCTCAGATCTCAGCCTCCTGAGTAGCTAGGATTATAGATGTGAGCAATTGCCACCTGGAAAAAATTATTTTATTTTATGTGCCATTCCTAAGGCTTGAACTCAGGGCCTGGGGCCTGTCTCTGAGCTTTATTGCTCAAGGCTAGTGTTCTACGACTGGAGTCACTGCTCCACTTCAGGTTTATTTTTTGGTGGTTAATTGGAGTCCCAAGGAGCTGGGCGCTGGTGGCTCTCACCTGTAATCCTAGCTACTCAGGATCTGAGGATCGTGGTTCAAAATCAGCCCCGGCAGTAAAGTCTGTGACACTCTTATCTCTAGTTAACCACCAGAAAACTGGAAATGGCGCTGTGGCTCTAGTAGAGTGCTTGCCTTGATATGAAGGGCCCAGGCCCAGAGATCAAGCCCCACACCTGAAAAAAAAAAGTCTCAAGGACTTGTTGTCTGGCATGGCTTCCATCCATGATCCTCAAGTAGCAAGGATTACAGGCATGAGCTGCCAGTGCCCAGGTATTTTACTTTATATTTTAACTTTCAGTATTTGTACTAAGGGGTTCGTTTCAACAAGTATGAGTACAATGTTGAGCAATGTTACTCTTCCCACCAGTCTTCCCCCAAATTACTCTTGACTTCAAGAATTGAAGTTTAGGGTTTCTTTTTTCCTGTTAATTGAATACTGTGTCGTACATACTATAGATTCATTTTGTTTTCTGTGTTTTGTTTTTTGCCAGTCCTGGTTCTTAAAGTCAGGGCCTAGGCCTTGTCCCTGAGCCTCTTTGTGCTCAAGGTTTGTGCTCTACCACTTGAGCCACAGCACCACTTATAACTTTTTCTGAGTAGTTTATTGGAGATAAGACTCTCATGGACTTTTTTGCCTGGGCTGACTTTGAACCTTGATCCTCAGATCTTAGCCTCTTGAATAGCTAGGATTACAAGTGGGTGCCTACTTTTTTTATTATACATATGGATATTAAAATATATGGGATTAGCAGATTAGTATAGTTGTCTCTAAGTCTTCTTGTAGTATTTAAAGTTTTTTTTTTTAAGTATGTATTTTTTTTGCCAGTCCTGGAGCTTGCTTGAGCTCAGGGCCTTGGCACTGTCCCTGAGCCTCTTTTTGCTCAAGGTTAGCACTCTTATCACTTGAGCCACAGTGCCCCTTCTGACTTTTTCTGAGGAATTGAATCCAGGGCTTCATGCATGCTAAGCAAGTACACTGAGCCACATTTCTAACCCTAAAAATTATTTTAAAAGATAGAATCTGATTAGGTTGCTCAGGCTGGCCCCAAACTCTTGGACCCTGATGATTCTCTTGTCTCTGCCTCAGAACTAGCTGGGACTATAGGCACATGACCTCACACCTAGTAGAATTTCCTTTCCTGTAGTTACTCAACAGAAAATGGTAGGAAAGGGATATTAAAGGTGTGCTTTTTTATAGTGTAGTAACTATACTATGGACTCAGTAGAACTTCAAATCCACACAAGTGCCAATCACTACCATTAATAGCAATAGTTTGAGATTCATCAGTTATTTTTTTCTTAGTGATTACCTGATTATTAGCATTTAAAATAATGTACTACTAATAAGAATTAAATGCCTGTAATCCTAGCTACTGAGGAGGCTGAGATCAGAGGATCACAGTTCAAAGCCAGCCCGGGTAGGAAAGTCCATGAAACTCTTATTTCCAATAAACCAACAGAAAACCAGAAGTGGCACTGTTGCTCGAGCCCCTGAGATTCTTCTCTCTAATTAATCACCAACTGGCACTGTGGCTCTAGTGGTAAAGCACTAGCCTTGATCTGAAGAGCTCAAGGACGGTACACAGGCCCAGAGTTCAAGCCCCATGTCTGACCAAAAAAAGACAGTGCCCAGGCCCTGAGTTCAAGCCCTACAACCAACCAAAACCAAAAACAAAAGAATTGAGACATTTCAAATCACTATGGAAATCGTATCTTTAATAATGTGTTTCTGATAATTGATAGGTATAATTTTTTTCTGTCCAGAGTGAATATGTCTATTATCCCACCATGCACATTAACAAAAGAATAGATTATGGTATTGGATTAATTTATCTCCTGCACATAGGTGTTTATGGACTCTCTTGCCTAGAGTGAGTCATAATTTATCCTTGTGTTGAATAGTGAAGATGTGATACTTATTTTTGTAATAATTTTAACCCTTAGATGGGAAGGCAAGCAAATTAAATATGTAATTTAGTTGTAGAAATTGGAAGATGAACATACTACTAGTTTAAGTTCTTTTCCCATTTAAGAGTATTTGCAAGCCGGGCGCTGGTGGCTCACGCCTGTAATCCTAGCTACTCAGGAGGCTGAGATCTGAGGATCACGGTTCAAAGCCAGCCCGGGCAGGAGAGACT